TCTGGTACTGTTGGGTCTTCGACACGTCTCCTGAGCTGCGATGTTTCTCGGCGGACTTTGTAATCGACGTTCCACTCGGTACTCGTTACCATGCAATAATCAAGGTGCCAACTAACCCTCCAATGACCAGATAAAATCTCACAACGCCAAGGTGTATTCGTAACAACGATCCTAGACTCTGTCTCCAAGGTAAAAATGAAAGGATAGGCTCTCAGTCTTCCCAGCAGTCTCTCACAATTTCAACCATACAAAGAATCTACAGTGAATATTTATTCCTACTAATCACACGATCAAATCGAAATAATTAACTACTTACCCTGCAATCACAGGATTCTTGTATAATAAAATGATATCAGCACAGTGGCCAAGAATACTTGCACCACGTGGAATCTTCAGCAGCGAAAATCTTCCAACTTGGAAAGTTACTCACAGGAAAATTATTCCTACAATATTTCCTCTAAACCAGGCAAGGCTATGAATCCCAATTAATATTTGGAGAACTCAATTCACAATAATTAAGTTACTAATTAGCACTTGAACCTTCGATGCTATTACATCAGCTGCTGGAAGCGAAGAGAGAGAATTTTCTCGAATCTACCTATCAAGTAACCTATCACATTACATCTTTGACCTAACCTAGGAAAACACAGAGACGGATTCAAACATACGAAAACGAATGGTCATGTAAGGAACAACATTACACTTTTTCAGAATGGAATCAGACAACCAGGTAAGCTCAAATATCCCAGATCATTCCCTCAAAAATTATCATTCAACTGCAGAACTAGTTAGAACACTATTATGAGATGCATAAAAATAAAAACCAGAATCTATTCCAACAATCTACTCCGATCCTGGAATTGATAACTCAACGGGCTGAACCTAGCGTATGACGGTCGAAAGATTTCGCCTCCAAATAGCAACAAATAGAAATCTGCATTTTTGGTATCGAACCTAGTTCACTGACCTGGAGCAACAAATACGACGATCAACAAAATAGAACTGCAAAATTTCAAGAGAACCTAACCATTATTTATTGTTTACAATGCAAGATAAAATAATAATTATTGGAATGAATTTGGATATCCACCAGCCGAATTATCCAGGAGAAGAGATTGAAATAACTTATAAGGTAAGCAATTAATTATATTATTCATAAAATGTGAAACTTGTGTTTGATTTCATACAAATTGTTTGATATTGAAATGTTCTTAATTTTACATAAACAATCAGCAATTTGTTTATATTGTTTTTATCTTTTCAGATATCCAGAAAATAGAAAGTGAAACAAATTAATTAATTGCCATCCTCCCTCGCATTATGATATGCACTGCGACTTATCCTACCAGCGAACAAAGTGAATAAACAGAATCAAACTAAGTGAAATTTGTAACAATAACCAATAAATCTTTGAAAAATATGCTGTTAATTATTTATGCCTCCTGACACCATTCAATGAAAAATGCAACCGTAACAACTACATTTTCTATTCTACAAGTTCCACCATCTGTATAATTAAGTCCCAAGTTTTATTATAACAATACTTTATGCTGTTAGAGTTCAAAGACGATGCCGGCTAGAATTATTATATAACCAATGTCCTGTTTACACGAATTTCTCGAAAGTCGGTACTTCTATTGCAGAAACCCCAATTGTTGTATATATAAAAACTAAGTCAAATATAGCCCATGGGAAGTACTCTTACTGCCAAAGACATAGTACCTTCCCAGGCTTTTTTTATAATACAGATGGCGAGAATTACAACCCCTAGGTTAATTTTAGATTTATGATTGTACGAACGTTTCGTAACATTTTAGCACCTAAATAAAATATGTTGTTAGGATAAGTTAATTTGAGGAAATTTTAAAATACCTTCTTTAGGGAGGTCCAAACTTGCCTTCCTTGGTGGAAGATAGTTGAAGGCAAGGCATTCAGATTCCGAGCTTCACTCTGAACAGTCGGGTTGCCTCTCAACATTCTTAACTAAGTGTTCTTCCCTCAACGAGAATTTTAATAAATGAAACATTTTTATACAATACCGAGTTTTAATTATCGAAGTACGAGATTGGAGCGAGCGGAAAACTCCAGGTACTCAACATTCGTAGCATCGGTCAACTCCCGATCCCCAACAATGAGTTTTATTTTAGGTTATGTGTATCTAAATACTTATAACTTAAGGTGTTCAGCTCTGAAAGAAGCACACAAATCACTTTTTAATTATTACCTAATTTGGTCTACAGATCTAAATATAATATCAATAAAGTGATAAAGTAGGCAAATTATACGCGCGGTTGCTGATAGGACAACAAAACGAATAATCGGTGTCTGTTTTCTGGCATTTCTGCCAACTTTTGCAGTCTTTTATTGCCTTAGTAGGCCTCACACACTTTAACGGGGAAACAATAAACCGTATTATATGGCCGTTCAACTTGCCAGGGCCAATGATCAGACATGTGTTCGACCTATATATGGAAACAAAGATTTCTGCTAAGTCAATCAAAATTATTAAGAACTTCTAGAAGTACTACAATAGACAAATGAAAGCTGGTCTTGAATTGGAAAAAGAAGAAATTACAAATTAACCTGTCATTGGTTTACTCACATATACAAAACTATTGGGATTTGTGAATAAGATGCCTTTGTGTTTTCTACATTATTTATGTATGCATTATAACTTTTAATGCATCAATACACAATTATTATTCTCAACATGAATGATATTTTCCTTGTAAATAACAGAAAGTCCAAGTCGATCAGATTTCCAGAATGAGCCTTGAACTTTTCCTCTATTACGTATATAAGTGCTTCACAAAACTTTCAATGTGTGACGTCATTTTAAGCCCTCACCTTCCAGCTGACCTTTATTAATATGTAACAAGGCGGTCATTAGGGAAGTTCGATATTACCCTTGAAGTTTTCTAATGTTGCAGGATTCCAATTTATTTCAATTACAAATGTTTGCTTTTTTATAATTATTTGTAAGTAGGTAGGTACCTAAACACAACAAACTTGAATAAACTAATGGTTTGTTTTCATGAAAATATTGGAATTTTTTTAAAAAGTCGGTTCATCATAATTTTCGAATTCTTGTGTTTGTACAGATGGCGGGGCATTGATTGATTCGGCATTGAAAAGTTGGAGTTTATTTTCTTTCAATTAATAATCTTATGTATATAGAGGGTGAGACATAAAAAAAATTGAACATAAAACTTCCAGGTAAACTCCAGTTTTTTCAAACAATATTTAATAATTATTGTTCATGGTTTCAGGCATATAGGTACTCTTGGATTTGTGTTTTGTAAAGAATAATATCGACTCAAGCTATAATGGCTACAAATATCTTATAAAAACAGCCAAAAACCCCATTAAAGTCTCTCTTCCTATTAGTATAAGTTCACCTCAAACCAAAACCAAGATAGCCAATAAAGTCTGAAGAAGGCATATGGCCCTAAATATAAGCTACACTTAAAGTTTATTTATAAAACGTAACCTAAATTTGTTTTAATTATAGTTTACCATTTGACATAAAGTATATTTTGGTTGTCGATTATTTTCGTGCAACTAGCGCGAGCTAATGCAATCGCATTTGGGCGTTATGACGTCAATTGTGACGTCAATTGGTCTTTTTTTTTCTAGACCGGAGGCGAGGTGAGTGTTGCAAGAAGTTGAGCAAACGACGTCGTAAAATAAAACGAGAGGAAATACAAAAACCGGATAAGTAATGAGATAAAAGATGTATTGAAGTTGATGGAGTAAAAAAGTTAAGTCACGTTAATTAGGTACCTAATATTATTTCTGTTCTGTTCTACAATAATTATTATAAATGTGTGGTGTTGTGTCTGTGTTGTTGCGTTTTGCTAAACGCTGTCTAATCAAAGTTGAACGTTGAAGGTCACTTACTTATCCTTGTAACTATAGGATTCACACGTTTGGACCTATTTTGGTTTGATAAACACAGTGCGCGTGAAATAAAGACAGCAGCAAAAAGCAACGTTTGTGATATATTCGAGTAAGTGACCTTCAACGTTCAACTTTAGTTAGACAGCGTTTAGAATTGTGAAAGTGAATAGTTGTACTAGATATTGATAAGCTACTTTTATTTTTATAGTTTTATATGTTTGGGGTGCCATTGTTGGCCAGGTGGGAAAAATAATGTCAAAACTGACAGTTGAGATGAAATTTGATATAACTATTGTCAAGGGGTTTAATTAGGCTCTTCAAACTACGTGATTTTTCAATATGGCGACCGTGGAAAATTTGACGTTTGTTTGTTTATCTTCAGTTTATTTGGAATATTTTCAAGCTAATTACAGTTTACTTTCTTATAATATACTTTTTGAAATGCAGAGTGAATATTTAAAGACTTGAATGCAGGAAAATCGGGATCCGGGCGAACGGTTAGTTTAAAAAAATGTCCAGATGACATTTTGATCCACAGTTCACATTAATGAGCAAATGAAGGCCTACAAAAGCTTAGATTCTTACGAATACATATTTCGAAAATGGCTTTATTTCAGATGCAGGAACAGTGGTAGTGAAAAATTTTCACGTTTTAATTGGAAAATTTTAAAACAAAGGGCAATGAAAAAAGCCTGACATCATCCTTGTTGCCTTGTTGAAACTACTTCCACAATCAACTTCAAGACCCGTTTGTGGCATTTTTAATTGGAAGAAAAACTAATGAAGTCAATAAAATAAAAAAATGAACAAAGTTCATTCACAAAACAACCACAAAATGCACTTTAAAAAGCTTTAAATTACATACTCTCATATACAGGATAATGAACTTCTGCCACAACGCACTTTTTGACAGGTCGTTGGAATGCCTAATTGGGAGTTCGTGAGAGTCTAATTTAGTGTTAGTAAAGTAATTTAAAGTTGAACTGTTGTATTATTTCCAACCCAGGCTGCAGACCTATCATTTTGGCGACGAGGATGGGATACCATAGTGATAAAAAATAGGACAGAAGTTAAAGTAAGACCTACGGTGACAACGAACAATGGCTTCGTACGGAAACATCGAACAATTCAACGTAAACGAACCAAAGGGTTGGGAGTCCTACGTCGAACGTATGACTTTCTATTTTTCGGCCAACGATATTGCAGATGAGGCTAAGAAATTAGCAATTTTCCTTAGTTTGTGTGGACCTCACACTTGCGAAATCCTGAGATCTTCGCTTGCGCCGGATAAGGTATCAGGAAAAACATACAAGGACATTATCAAGACATTGTCGGAGCATTTTACGTCACGTCCATCGGAAATTGTAAACCGTTTCAAGTTTTATATCGTCGAGATCAACTTAAAGGGGAGTCATTTTCAATATACACTCATCAAAAAAGTCTAGGGAACAAGAAATATTCGTCTTTTAATTTTTAGACAGAATAACTTTTTTTAAAAAGATATTATATGGGTATTTGTTGAACAAATCTTGTAAAATTTATCATACCGGCTTTTCCAGCAGGCTTTAAAAAAATTTAAAAATCTTTTAAAAGTATATTTTATTCAATTTATAAATGTGTTCAGTTGCATCTTGTTCCCTAGACTATTTTGATGTGTGTATTTGAAAGAATTACGGCATCTGGCAAAATCGTGTGGGTTCGAGACCAGTTTAGAGACTATATTGCGTGACTGAATCGTATGCGGAGTTACCGACGAAATGCTGCAAAGGAAACTGCTGTCAGAAGATAAATTGACATTCAAGAAAACTAGGCTCTAGCTGATGTCACACACATAACCTCACTTCCGTTGGTGGGACAAACAAAGAATTTGAAAGGTCTATTTAACACACAGGCAATGACATAACGTGACTTTCGATAAGGGAACAAACATGTCATTGAAGGTTATGTGTGTGACGTCAGCTAGCACCAAAATAAAACAGATTAGCTGAGGAACGTGAATGTCGAGTTATTCAGGATCGTTTTAGGAAATGTTTCCGTTGTGAAAAAGACCATTTGGCCGTTTCCCGTGTGCATGAAAATTCGAAGTGTAACTACTGTCCGAAAATAGGGCACATTGAGGTAGCTTGTTTCCTTAAGAAGAAGGACACAAACAGATAGAGACGGAGCGTACACCAACAAGACTTTAATAATTCGGGCTAGGAAAATGATTTGAAAAGTGTTCAGAACATTGACTCTAACGCGGACTATGGGTTCACATTAAATAATGTGAGTTGTGACAATTTTTCGGGCAAGTACTTACTTAGCCGAAGTTATGGTAAATGAAACTAAAATTTGTATGGAAGTACATTGGGCAGCCGGGTACTCTGCTGCAGTCCACTACAAATATGGGGTTGGATAGAAATTCGCCGATATCCATTATTGGATCGTTCATGTCGCGCTTATAATACGAATCATAGGCTGAAGTAATTAGCTTTTTGGTGAAGTCAAGATTATTTCATCGGAATTTAAATAAGTCGAATGTTTCGTATGTTGGCATCGGTGAAGGCTGTAGCGTCTTCTCCCCGGCTGTCGTGGTTTTTCACTTTCTGGAATCCAATTATAACATATCGGGGCTTCTCCAATTGGGTAGTAGTTTTAATCGCCCATATATCGCTAGACGTATCTCTCAATGATGGCAGCTCGAAAAGATCCCATTTTCTATAGGGTATCTTCATTCTAGTGCTGTCGCCACCTTTATTGATGCGTGAAAGAATCTTCAATTTTTCCTTGTCATCGGGTACAATATGTCGAATTTTCCCCTCGATTTTGTCAATCTCGATTGTAGCCTCAACTTCCCCAATGTAGCAGTTTGTCAATGTGCGAGCAATGATCAGAATCAGCTCCTGGAGTAATCTTCTGCGAAGCGAAAAAGATGTTTTAATGGCAGTTTTTCACTGAATATATGGCTAGCTTCATCCACTATATCCTGACGAGTCTCGCCAAGGCCCCATCCCGAAGTTATTAAGCGCTGAGTCTGGGTTACTTCTAAGGAAATCAAATAAGTTTTCAATGTCGTAGCTATACCCGGATTCCGCAAACTAGCAACTTGTTCTCCGGCCATTTCATAACGGATTTCATCCAAAAGAAATGTCAATGCACTGTTTGACAAAAAGCATTTCTTCAATGGGTCTCTTGGTGAAAATTTCCCTTCGATATAAAAATACTTCCAGAGTAGGGGTGTAACCAACAAATTAGTAAACAAGTTTACATTTCGAACTTCATTAGGCACATAATTGAACTTCAAGCTCGAAAGGTGTTTAAAGTTGAAGGCAATGTTTAGATGCCTTTCTAATAACTAGAATACAATGTTGCTTGATTGACTCAACACAATTTCTAGTGAATTGCATCTGGTTTTGGTATCATATACCTATAATATGTATAGCTACACCTTTTTCATTTATTTGGTGATATTTGCCAGAGAACTTTTTCTTCCCCCACGATAAACTTCCTTTTCCATATGGAAAATGTCTCCTGCAGCATATAAGGACTGTGAGAAATTAAGTTTTATGAAATGAAAATAATTCGATGAAACTATTATTTTTAATCTATAGCTACACGATGGATAAAGCAAGCTTCTTGGAACTAAGCCAGATTTACTTGATGTGTCGGATTAGTAACTTCCAAAAAAAATTTGGGCGACAATCCTCCTTTGATAAAATCCACCAATATTATTCTACGGGACTATCAAGGTAAAGTAATTCCTACGAGGGGTGAATGTTTAGTAACTGTTAAACTAGGAAGGCAGGAAGCCAGGCTACCCCTCATAATTACCCAGGAAAATCGAGCAAGTTTCCTTGGCCGAAATTGGTTCGAAGGTTTGGGTTTATCCATCATAGGAGTAAGTCAAATTTATTCTTTGTCCAACTATGTCCAGAAATACCCTGAAGTATTCGGTGAAAAGTTAGGATCCTAGATCCTACAGGGGACCCCCAGTTAGCTTTTTCCTGGATCCAAATTTCAAGCTGATCATTATGAAAGCTCGAAAAGTGCCATTTGCAATAAAGGAAAAAATTGATATGGAACTAGATAGACAACGTGTTCTGGAGCCAACTACTCATGCTAAATGGTGTACTCCAATAGTAGTAGTTTGCAAAGATAACGGAAAAGTTCGAATTTGTGGGGACTATCGTAGTACATTGAATCGTGCCCTGTAGGCAGAGCCTTATACAATGCCCTCTGTTCAAAGTATATTATGTGCTAACAGGAGGTAAAATATTTTCTAAATTGGACATGGCACAGGCCTATTTACAATTAAGCGTCGATCGTAAAGCTGCCGAAGCGCAGACGATAATTACCCACAAAGGTGCATTTAAATGTAATCGTTTACAGTTTGGTATCTCAGTAGCCCCACAAATTTTCCAAAGTTTCATAGACATGCGACTAGCAGGAATTCCAGGTGTGCTGCCATATTATGACGATGCACTAGTTGTCGGACAATCAGAAACTGATTTAGACAGTAAAGTGCACGTTTTACGGAAGAAGGAGTTAATTTAGGCAAAGATAAATGTGTGTTTAATACCAAGTCAATAGATTTTCTAGGATATCGAATAAGTGAAAATGGTATTCGGCCCACTAAAGAGAAAATCCAGGCGATAGCTAATGCCCCGGCGACTAAGAATAAGACTGACCTACAGGCTTTCCTTGGACTTTTGAATTTTTATCATGTTTTCCTTAAAGACACAGCAACTAGAGCAAACCCATTGCATTGCCTTCTGAGGAAAGAATCGCAATGGCAGTGGCATACCGAAGAACAAGCGGTGTTTGATGCAATAAAGGACATTTTAAGTAAAGAGCCAGTTTTAGCACATTATACAGATAAAAAAGACCTCATTTTAACATGTGACGCCAGTCCCTATGGTGTGGGCTGTGTGTTGAGTCAGCCAAATGATGATGGGAGAGAAGTTCCAGTGGCATATCACAGCCGTACACCATCGCACAGCGAGAAGAATTTTGCTCAACTTGATAAGGAAGCTCTCTCCATAATTACAGAAATTAAGAAATTCCATGATTATATTTTTGGCCGCAAAGTAACTAGCAGGACAGACCATAAGCCATTAATAGGTGTTTTCAATCCAAAGAGAAGTGTTCCAGAAATACTTTCACCGAGAATGCTGAGATGGACTCTAATGTTAGTTGTGCCGCGAACAAGGGCCCGGGCCCCAAAGGGGCCCGGTGTGTCCTGAGTCCTGACGCTTTTTGGACACAACATACAAGAAAAAAAAAATCAGACTACGCCCACCCACGCAATATTCGCTTTGGCGATTTTAAACCGAAACAGAAAACTGTAATATCAATCTCTACAGATTTCTTTTTAGTCGGCCCTCCGACTTCTAATACTCTTATCAATATTGATAATTGACAATGTCAGTCATTTATTTCACGTACCCATTTCAGTCCGTAAAATGCTTCATTTTCGACCTAGTCCCTAAAAGTCGTTTTAGCAATCAGAAACAAATTCTACCTGGCGCTGACAGTTGAGATGAAATTTGATATAACTATTGTCAAGGGGTTTAATTAGGCTCTCCAAACCACGTGATTTTTCAATATGGCGACCGTGGAAAATTTGACAACAATAGGTTTGTTTGTTTGTGTCGCACTAACTTGAACTTAGCTGTAATATTCCAGATTATGGCAAATACACCCAGTGTAATATGGATTTAGAGGGGGTCTATGATAGTGAGCGAACATTTTGGCGCCCAACGTGAGGCACTATTTACATAGAAATTTAAAGTTTTGTTTATTTGTTTATCTTGGTTTTTTTTTTTGGTCTGCCTTCCCTTGGCACTCCTTTCCTAGGTTTTCAAGGAACTTTAAGCGTAAAATTTTGAATGTGACAGGGTGGAAAAGCGAGGGAGTCGATCATTTACTCTTTGTTTAGGGGTGCATTCCGACCTTGAATAAAATGGGGCACGTGTATGCCCTATAAGGATACATTTTCAATCAGATGCTGAGCAAAGCGTAAAAAAATTGTTTCTGAAATTTTCAAGCTTCAACACCGACTTGACGAAAATTGAAATTCATATTAGTGAAGTTTGCAGTTTGTGGCCACAGGCTATGATGCTTATTATAATGGAGAGGTTTTTTATTGTCTTATATGTAGAAATATATAAAAAATAAAGTTCAAACACGTGTCAACATTTTCAACCATCATGGACCCCCTCGCTCACAAACGAACGCCCCGGAGCAGGAAGTGCTGCTCCGAACAACACAAACAAACAAACCTAATGCCAATGCGTAATCAGTTTAAAATTTTTTATGTTACTTTTCTTCACATTTTTCTGCGAGTCAGAAAAAACACTTTTCGGGCGTATTACGTACACTATTTTTTCGGCCAAAAAGTAATCACTTCTCAACCTAGGCTAGACAAAATTAAACAAGCTCTAGTAGCGCCTTACCATCCCAGTAGTAATGGTCAGGCAGCAAAGATGGTGCAGAATGCTAAAATTGCAATTAAGAAAATGACTGGTACCAATGTACAACTGGCCCTATCCCGATATTTATTGAGCCAACACATAACTCCGCATAGATTAACAGGTAGATTTCCAGCAGAAATGCTAATGGACCGTAGATTATCTATTCTACTTGATAAATCACAACCAGATTTTCGGAGGGAGATGATGACTAAACAAGACGACAAGCAACGTACAGAACAAGGGAAAAAGACCAGGTTTTGCAGCGGGTCAGAAATGGTTGCCATCTACGATTATCGAAACTACAGCTGAACTACAAGGTCCAAACACCTGAAGGAAAAATCATGCGAAGACATTCTGACCAAATTTGTTCCGGAGTTTCGGACGGGTTAAAATCAGACTTTCCTAGTAATGGCGACTTCTCAGGAGAGATAACGACAGCGACTTTACCACAGATGGAATTAGAAATCTCTGATGTGAGGGTGCCAGCTGTTCATACGCCACCGTCTATGAGGATCAGGCATTCAGGCGGCGCCCAAGATACCTAGAAGAGTATGCTACGTTAAAACTACCAAGGGGGAGGATTGTGGTATTGTTGCATTTTACTAGAACTGTTTAGACGCTCATGCAATTTGCGCAAAATTATTTGTGCATGCAAGTTTGTGCAAAAAAAAACTGAGTCAAAAACTCCGTCTACACGTTCAGTCTTTACTTGCACAGTGGGCATAAAGTATGTTGGTTTTTCTCAAAAGTAACTTGTGTGAAAAAAATCGCGACTGGCGGTGCTCCATCTCCGACGATCCGTACTCGACTAAATCTGACTAAATCTAAATCCCTTGTCCAACAAAAACCCCCCCAAAAAAAGGTAAACAGATAAGGTGATAAATATGAGTGAGATGGGCAAAAAAACTAACTGCGTGAAGACCAATGATTTGATATAACTATTGTCAATGGGTTTAATTGAGAATTCGAGAGTCTAATTCAGTGTTAGTGAAGTAGTTTAAAGTTGAGCTGTATTATTTACAACCCAGGCTGCAGACCTGTCAAAATGCATCCAGACAAACCATTCGTTCACCTACAAATGATGTTTTACAAAATAAATAGACCACAGAAGAAAATAAAGATCATCTGGATACAGATGGATAAAGAGATTTCAAACTAACTTCAGAACTACACTGGGGGCAAATGGCTCATAATAGAATTGGCTAAGGAGAATTGGGAAAAGTCTTCATCCAATGCTGAAGAAGAAGAGTTGAAGAACAGATGACTAGACTATGATGAGCATACTGGAGGATAACAATATAGATATTTCTCGACAATCAGCTTCAGATCATATTGGAAACATCTGCCAGAGTTACAGTTTGAGAGAAGAGTTTAAGCAAGCTCGAAGACACAACTGAAAAGTTACTCATTGAAATGGATGGTTCACTAACTGCAAATAAAGATAAAGAACATAGAGATGGCATAGAGATTACCACCATTGTCAAATGTGGAAATTCATTGTATATCTTCAAAACCACATTAAATGCCACACTGTTGGAATCTTGAATAAATACTACCAATGAATTCGGATAAAAATGAGATTTTTCTTATAACAATGCCACCAGATGTAACTTTCTTTTACCACGATAGTTTCAATCAACGACTATTCCAATAAAAAATAAAGTCTCATCTAACCAGACAATGACTCAGTCCCGAATCAAATCAAATACGGCGTGTTGATTCGATGATGCTTCGCACATGTTTTTCCTAAATAAACCATATGAACGTCTGCGAACTGTTTTATTTTTTAGCAGAAAAGTATCGAAATAATTATTTTCTGGTTCCTGTAAACATTTTTATCAACCTGCGTTTTAGATTTTACATACGCAAAACCCTTTAATTTTTCTCCACCGAGTCAACATTACAAAGCCTTTAATGAGAATTGGCTTAATAAATATTTCAACGCATGTATTGCGTAGTTTTTTTTTTTTCAATTTAATTTGTAAAGATGAACAAGAAAAAATAATAAAAATAGTCAGAAATTCATTTGAAGGTACTGGCAATTTTCTTGTAATAACACAGCTACACTTTATTTCCGAAGTCTAACCAAATACTAATGCAAGCCATATCTATAATAACCGAGTACCTGGTAAGACGATCTATTAATTCTTATAGTGTTTTGATGGCAAGGAAAAAAAAACCTGCTAAAATTACTACACGCTATACGCAATTTCTTGGGAACGTATAATAATCCATCTGGGTGCCCGTTTCAGTTCTTGTTCATTTATTTCAGAAGCCGAGACCTGGTTCGACTTCATTCCGACGACGAAGAAAGATTTCAGATTTAGAGTAGACCGAAAATAATTTCTATTTTCGTTGTCCTTTAGACGTTGACATCAAAAATGTCGCCTGGCAATCAACAGCCAGGATTTAAATTTAGGTTGCATTTCATAGTAAGATTCTTGAAAAGTTTTGGAATGAAACTCAAATTGTTCTATATCAGATGCTATTTTTTTTAACAGACCAATCCTCTTTAGGTGGACTTTCAATGTCAATAGACCGGTTGCTGTATCTTTGGACACTGTACCCAGAATTGGTTTGATCATCATGTTGTATATCCAATCCAAGTAGCTTGATTCGGTACAACAGATATCTTCACTTCCATTATACTTGAGGGATATGGTTATAGCCTCCTCTTCATCCAGAAAGCAGCCCAGTATCAACTCCTTGTTATCCAGTGTGACTTCTAATGTGTCTCCAAAATATCAGCTATGATTGGATAACTTTTTCTACTCTACACCTTGGAGGCTCATTAAATTCCACTTCCTCTCTTCGTCCGGAACATTTCTCAGAGATCTCAGAAAGTCCAGGAAAGGAAAAAATACCTTTTCAGAAAATCTGGATGGATACCAGAAAAGAAGTACCAGATGTGAAGTGGACCAAAAACCCATATGCAGCTGATTCTGATGAACCATCTAGTGGCGACCTCGTTAAACTCTACCAACACTCCAAGGCTATGGTCTGTTTTATATTCAAACATAAACACCGTCACAACAATTTTTATGTCTCTTATGGAAAAGTGTATTTGAAAAAGGGTGATAATGATAGAGCATTCAGGATAGAGACTTCCAACTCTAGAGACACTGAATAACACAAGTAACTTGTATTTAATGAAAAATTAAACATTTCTTCTTGTTAATCTGAATCTTGATGGAATCTTCTTGCTCTATCCCCTTACCTCGTTGGAGGTTACATTATACCGAAGAAGGGCTAAAAATAGTATCCAACCTGGTTAAATCTTAACGATGTCGTTGAACGTCCGCTGGCGATTGCAACCGCAACATGGCGCCGACATGTAAAGGCCGATGCCCATGGAAATCTTGTTTTCTTCGCTGTTTTTTTTTTATCTTCATTTAATAGGAATTTATTCGAAGTTTGTAATCGATTTAATCTCAATTTTCTACATACAAATTGCTACTTCCCACCAGAAACAATAATCGAACGAATTTCCAGCTAAAAAGCACATAATAAAATTGTTACAAAACATAAACAAACCAGACATCAACACAGACCGATATAATTGACTTCCTTCTCGGAACACCGAACAAAATGACTAACCAATAAGTTTGGTGATTCAACCGAATGTTTTGATTCCAAAAAAACGATGTGTTTCCGAAAATAAAACTATATTCGATCGGTTGTTAATTTATTGATGTTTGAAATTGATTTCGCCTGTACGTCAATGCGGTTTTGTTTTTTCAATTAACTATACGGATTGAAGGTTAGTTAATGCAGTACCGGATCATCAGTACCTATTTTTAACATGAAACGAGCTTTTTATGATTTCCTTTGAGCTACGCAAGGTCGTTCGTAAACGTAGATCTGTCAGATTAAACTTACTATTAGAGGTCTTGCTTGCAGTGAATTGACACTTGAATAAACTACAGTTTCTTTATTGAAAAGTTACCAAGCAACAAAATGTGTTTCAGTTAATGTCTTACTCCAGTCTTACTCTTTATGAACTTTAGGTCCCAATAATGATCTTATAGTCTCTGAAAAGTCTTGGTGAAAATATCGGCTTCCTGTTTCTTTGTACAAACATACTTTGTTAGGGGTGTAAATATATCAGCATAATCGAGACCTTCTTTCTGTGCAAAACCCTTGGCACATAACCTAGCTTTGTATCTTGACGGTCGTATTTCACTTCAAAACCCCACTTTGATCTAATTGCCTTTCTGCTTTCTGGCAAATCTTGTAAAATCCATGTTTTGCTTTCACAGAGAGCATTTATTTCTTCCTGTATAGCTTTCTTCCATTTTTCAGAGTTATTACAACTTACTGCTCTTCATAAGTAGGTACTGGAGACTTCTTGCTCTACTTAATATAACTCCAATTCTCTCAATTTTCGTGGTATTTTTATATTTCTTTGGAGTCTCAAATTGGGAGGTTAAGTTCTTCCTCTTCTTGTACTCGTTCATCTTCTGGTTGCCTATTATTCTGTGGCCCGAGTTGAGGAATTAAGATTCTAATATTCTCTTCTTCATCATTTTCGAAATCAATCAACACTGGTATCTCTTCTTGTTTGTCAACAAACCCCTTGTTCTTCTCGTCAAATAAAACATTACATGATGCTGATATCTTTCTGGGATTATACAAACGAAAATTTCCTTCAGGTAATATTCAGGTGAAAAAACAGAGGCGTCTGGCAATTTTAGACCAATAGAAAGCGAATTACAGCGATAATTTTGCACAAGTGCAAATTATCGATAATTTGCACAAGTGCTAATTGCCGATAATTTTTTTCAGGTATTTTTTACCTGTCTCAACGAGTTATTGTCAGCTTTGTACACAGTAAATTAGACACAAATTATCAATTTTCTATACAGTAGATTATACTATTTCCAAATCGACGTTTAAGATCTCTTCGTATTGATCGGCGTAAGGTCTTCGATACTTTCATCAATATCAACCTTTGGCAAATTTGTTGATTGACAACATGTGTTTTAAACAAGGTCCCTAGTAAAATACTGCGAACAGGTATAATGATTCAGGAAATTTTCTTATAAAATATAACTCGTGCAATGAAAATATATCTAAAATTTTTGAAAAATTTGCACTCATGCGTTTTTAACTGAAAAAGGCAGTCGTGCACTTCGTGCACTCGTGCTCTTTTTCAACTAAAAATGCATTCGGGCAAATTTCCAAAAAATTATTGATAATTTTCATTGCACTTGTTATATTACTACTGATAATTTGTTGAGATTTTGTCATACCCAACAAATTTCATTTTATGACTTTTTGGCTCTATGTTCGCTTCTGATCTGGTGTGTATACGTGTGCAATAAGCACAGCCAAATGTTTTAGCATGTCCTAGGCCCAGTTACACAATTGGTGGTAACCTCCACTCGTTATCAAACTCATAGTTGCGGGTTAACTAAATGAAATATTCTGAATCTCGACCAATGGCTTTGGCTGAAGCACACAATGAAACAGATATATTGTAGGTTACCAGTGTTTTGTGGTTACCGTTGGGTTACCACTGTTTGTGAAACTGACCCCTGTTATGGCTTCTCACCTGCTCATTGCTCATACGGTGTGCTGGAGCTCTGCTCAGAAGGTGGTCGATTTAGAATGTATATTGCAGTACTTGCTGCTTCTGCCCAGAGATAGTGAGGTGCATTTGCACTAATAAGTATTGACCTCACACTCCTTGATGGTACGGTTTTCTCTCTCACATCGACCATTCTGCTCTGGGATATAGGGTGCATTATTTTCTGGTTCAATGCCTTCTTTATTCATGTTAGCTTCCAGTTCTTTGCTTATACAGCATTCAGTGAGTGTCCAAATTTTCTTTTAATTAAACTGTTAAACTGAACAAAGTACTCATCCGTATTACTTTTGTGCTTGATAAAAGAAACTACCCGGTAACCTGTGTAGCTGTATTTGAGAAGCATCATATTATAACGAGTTTGGTAGTCTTTGGAATGAGAAATTGTTTAATCGCAGATACAGTGAAGCTTCGCTAATCCGAACTCCATTAATCCGGATTTCCCAGTAATCCGGACAAAATTAAAATATTAGATGTTAACATTATGTATTCTATAATCCGGATTACCTGTGATTCTATAATCCGGAACATAATTTTTTGCGCAGTTCGCCAATTGCTACAGGTGGTGTTACCAAAGTCTATGTCGGTGAATTCCCTTCACCGAAAACGATGCGTTTGTTTCTGTGACAAGGATGGAAAGCTCGGTAGGAAGCATTATGGCGCCAAAGAGGGCATAC